CTCATGTACTTTAGTGTAATGGGAGACTGTGTGAACCTGGACGTGAACTTGGGTTCAAGAGTTGTGACAAGAGAATTAGTATTTCTTTTCCTTCTGTCTCTTCACGAGATAGAAAATTTGATTCTACAAAACATACGTACATCTATCTATACATGATCTCTGTGTGGTCGAATAATCTAGATTGGTTTATATTATCAGTCAACTATTAAATGAGAGGCATATATACCATTTGTTGTGATTATTAGTGCTAATAGTTTCTTCAGGTCGAAACCACATCAAATAGATATTCTTGTTACTAGTCCACTTTCTATCGCTGAGCCTCGAATCCAGAACTTGTGTTACTCACTCAAAAGGTTTTTTGAACCAAACGGATAAATTACTTATGCCGGAGTTTATAACTTTGTTCTTGTAATTAGGAACTACATGTCCATTTTACCATTATTGTTGTACTCTTATTGTTGGATTGATGCCTCCATTTTAAATACATGATACAATATGTATACGAAGCTGATATGTGGATTGCTTAAAATTAGTATTGTGATTTGTTCTTTCTCTAAAAATATACTAGTACGTACAAATAATTTTACTTATCCTTTTATCAAATACCAAATTGGAGCGGATCTAAAAAATAATTTTTCCAGTGCTCATGAAATATATATAGAAGATATCGAGCAACTGGTACGGTTTTACACATGACACAAGTTATTCTTACTTTCAAAGTCTTTTTCATTAGCTCCAAAACACGGACCAGGTTCATCTTCGGTAATATAAAATGTTTGCAGACGTTTTGATAAGAATCTAAATATGATGGTCCTTGTGTTAAATACAGGTGGCTATTGGAGATACAGATAAGTAAGGAAGGCAAGAGTCACATGTCCCTTTGTTCTTCAATATATCAACATGAGGTACCTTTTTCTCATAATGTGATTCCATAACTTCTTTATCATTCAGCACTTATTTAAAGTTTTCCAAAATTAATTTCACGTAAGAATATAATTTATATATAAAATTTCATTCACATCTATTTTTTTTATTGCTAATGTTGTCCTATTTCACTAGTCTTGGATAGTTTATTTACAAGCAAATATTAACACCATTTTGTTATATATATTTCTATTAGCTATTATAGGTTCAAGAATCACTTAGTCATGAGTGATCTGTCCATCTCTTTCTCTAGGAAAACCATTGAGCAGTACCAAATTTCTTTATCCTGCGGTTAGCATGTTGTGGCTGGCCGAAAGCTCATAGGCCTTGTGATGTCGATCCCCAGATCTTTATAACTAGAGAATTCTTAATCAAGTTCCTAAACTTTAAATTTATGAAGCTTCATATGATTGCAATTGCACGGTTATGCCGCAATAGTACTAAATGGTTTGATCAAGCCAAAAAGAAGTAGATTTAACACCAAAATTTGGTCTATGTATACAATTAACTAAACTTAAACGACGTTATATATGCTTTACAAATAAATTCATCTTCTCCGAGAAAGTTACATTACAACTTTTTTTATTTGCTCTACAACAAATGAGTTCAACGCTAAAAAGAAAGGAAGAAAACCTCAGGATAAACAAACATACTGTATGTCTAAAATACCAAAATACTAGTAATTAAAACCTCAAAAAAAAAATACTACTTAATTCCTCTGTTTTGAAATATAATTTTTATTTATTTAATTAAGCTAGCTGATTTTTGTGGGTGGGAGCTGGATATGAAAATGAGTTCATTTCCTGTCAGTTGGGATCTGGTTCTGAGGCTCTGTTCAGGCACCATAACTGGGAACTCTCTTGGCCATTAATCGACTTTACGGGTGAGGCAAGTCCACGAGGGTCAGGTATTATTTTTTTCTTGCTTATGTTGCCCAAGTCGTTCATCAAGATTCTTGGAGGTTGCCGTCACCGGATCCTTTCACTCTTGAAAGCCTGCCTTCCTTTGTCAAAGACAGAAGACATCTTTCTTTGGACAACATCTCCTCGAGCAAAACCAGGCCGGAATGTCTACTTTGTGGAATTGGTGTGGAATCCAGAAATCATTTGTTCTTTTATTGTGATTATGCCAAGGAGATCTGGGATTTTCTTTCATCACCAGTGCACATCTCTCTCCAGTCTCCACTAATCAGCTTCGATGACATAACTCTCTGGTCAAACTAATCCACATCGGATCACAAGCTCATCATCATCATATCTAAGTTATTCCTACAAGCTAGTACGTATGAAACTTGGAAATATCAGTTTTCTTTGGACATAATTTGGATATGATAATGTCCAAATTATTTCCCTAAAAAAGCCTTAAACTTGACTATGCATTTTTTTAAGAAAACTTGATCATTTGTACTATGTCAAAATAAATTTAAAATTTACATAGAAGTTAACTTAAAAATGACCAAATAAAAATGAAACAAAAAAAATCTCTAAAACATGTCGTCCGATCTTCTGAACATCATCCAAAATTTGTTTTTAACAACTCAACAATTCTATACAATAATCAATAGAGTGACTAAATTAGCAGTAATTGACCGACGTTGAACGTAACCTTAGAAGAAGAACAAATATATTAAGCATTTTAGCAACATAATTCTATATTAACTGATCCTTACCTTATGTAACACCAAATCAAACTTAGTCTAGTGAATTGAAAATATCGAATGAGTCCGGGAGTTCCCCCAAACACTTCAGTAGAAAACCATTTGATAAAAGATGGTATCTCCAATGAAGTGCTCAGAGGAACTCTAGGAAACATCCGACCAAAACGACATTTGTTTGTATATCTAATATACGTTATCAATGTATTGTATATACATTTCAGTGGAATAAGCAAATTCCGTTTATAAGAGTGTTAGGGTTTGAAAAAGAATGGAGGGATTGGTGTTTATTATATACAATTGGAAGCATTGTGAACTTAGAGGTGAATTCATGTTAAGGGCTTTAGGTGAGGGAATCAAAATTTTCAAGAAAAGTTGCATAAATCCTTTTTCTTTTCAGCTTTTTGCAAGATAAGAAAGAAGTTTCTATAAACGCATAGATGCCAATGAATGTACATATATGTACAGTCACATACATGCAAATGCACATATGAATTCTTTTGCTTCTTTTGTGTATACGCTACTGCTATTTCAATTTTACGATAAATTATAGACACGTAAAGACAATTTCTTTCGAGACCGATTATTATTTTGGGAAAATTGGATATAAAGGATAAATAATTAAATTATTGTCCATCTATGCATTCTATATTCCTAATTGGTCATATATGCTTTAAAATTGGTCATATATGCTTTGATATAATTAAAATCCCATTTATATCCCTAGTTTTTTTTGTTAAATCTTGCTAAACCAAAAAATTCTAAAATTAATTAGATTTCTTTCTAAAAATGATTTGGAGAAAATATATGACAAAAATAATATTTAATTACTTTCTAATTTTTTTTTTGCTGTAGATAATTTTATATCTTCTTCCGCTTTAGGTCTTTTTAATACGGCATCTTCTTCTCTATTTTTTTTACGACAACTTCTTCTTTGATTTTCTCTTTTGGGACTGTCCATCGATATGTTGGACGATGTCAACATATACATGCACATCAAAGGCATGTAGTTGATCTATGGGAAGTAACATCTGCTCATGTATTCATGACCGAATGGCAAAGTATGAACCTCCACAAGCTAGATTCTAATATAATTGAGTTTGGTTATATTACGTATTTTGTATTTTGTATAAGTAGAGCAACACGTTTCACTCATGTTACGTATTTTCCACGAAAAAGTTGTGTAGTTTCGTAATCTTAACTTTTTATATTCGATTTCCATATTTTATAATTTGTTTTCCTTTTTTTAAAAAAAATTCTAAATTACATAGAATTTGATTTCTATTTTTTGTAGAATATATAGAAAAATATAAGAATGTGTTTTCTAACAATTTTAGAACATGGGTAAATGTAAGAAAACATATTCTAATTTTTCTAGAAGAAAGAGCAAAGTATAGAATATGTATTCTAAATTTCGTAGAATTTAGCATTCTAAATACCGTAGAACAGAAATGCGTTCTAAATTTTCTAGAACATGTAGAGTGCATAGAATACATTATCTAAATTTTATAGAACATGTACAATGTATAGAATACACATTCTAAATTCAGAAGACGTAGTCTAAATTTCGTAGATCATATTTTATTCATCCAAAACGGTAACAAAAACGATATATTTTATATTTTATAAGTATCCCCATGACTTATTTATCATTTGTCTACAAACTATTCTAAATTTTATTTGAAAAATTGGTTAAATCAATTACAAAGGGTAGATTAGGAATATATGACATTTGAATATAGAATGCACAGATGGACAATAGTTTAATTATTTGTCCTTTATATCCAATTTTCCCTATTATTTTTAACAAATTAAAAATATGTTTATATTCCTTTTTTTTTTCTAAAGATGTTTATATTCCTTCTTAACATAATTCACGTACATTAGTTTGAAAGATACGGACATAGCATGTTTGAAAATGCAGATACGAGGTATGTATAGCATTAAAGGCAATTACTAGGGAAAATTTCCTTCGTATAGTTTTAATAATTATTAAAATATACCATAGTGAAGTTCCATTCTTAAAATACTTTCTTATTTTTGAACATTTGTTACTTTCATTATTGTTTACATTGGCTTTTGTAACTCAATTTAAATCGCAATTACATGGGAAAAAAGAGTTGAAGAAATCTACGAGTCAAAAGATATTTTATGAAGAATGTGCTTATGTAGGAAAGTGATGGTGATATAAATATTCTCTTGGCTCCTTATTACCTAAATTCCGACTTGGTTCATCCTCATATATCCCGCATGTTGTGCTATTCAATGAAGAATATAGAATCTATGGTCCCTCTCTTAAAAAAAAACAAAAAGAAAAAACATATCATGGAGAAGTATCTATAAATATGCAGTTTGGGTTGTCACTAAGGTCAGTGAGTAAGAGAAGAAGCATTAGCAAAAGAGACATAATATGTAGAGTCAAATGTCCCCTTGAGTTCCCTTAAACGCTTCATTGTTCACACTTTGTTGTCTAAGATCAATCCATCGATTCAATCAATCTGATGAACACTGAAGTGTTTGGGGGGACTCTAGGTGACATATGGCACCGAAAGGTTATATTAATCGTCAAACGGTGATTTCAACGGTTCAGATGAGTTCATATGAGCCTTTTCATGAAGAAGATAAGTAATCTGGCTAGTGATCTATCATGAGTGAGTCATTTCGTTTCTTAGTTAAACAATTCGTTTCAACTAAACTTTCCATACTAATCGTGTATCATTTTATGAAACATTTCCAAATCCATACGGAGTTCTTGAAATATGCCAAAACTTTTATAACGGAGTTCCAAATTTGAGGGTATGAGGGTTTTACTTAAGATTTGAGTTTTTTTTTTTTTATAAAAAATTTACTATTAGAATTGTTTTATGAAAATTAGTTAAACGTTGATTGTAACACATCACCCAAATGAACATGTGATTTCAACTGGAATTTAAAACCAGTAATTGAAAAACAAATTAACAATACATTATAATTGGATTACAAAATCCAACCAATATAAATTGAAACTTAATCAACTATAGAATCCAAAGTCTATATTGAACTGGAGAGACTAATTACAAACACAAATACAAATTGAACAATCCATAAAACAGAAGAGATTTATCCAACCAATTACAGTACATATGTATCACTTGTTCTTACCAATTTAATCGCCTCCAATTCTTCAAATGTTTTATTGTATTCTGTTCCAACTCTCTTCCACAATCTCCTTAACCCGCCTGTTGTATTCTCGCTTGTTCCCGTGAATAAGCGTGCAGCTTCTAAATTTGCAGGTGAGTTTGGGCTGGGATCACAGAGGAGTGACTGCAAATTGTTAACAAAAACAGTAAAACTGGTTACAATCAAGTGGTTTTACATTGATCTGGATAATCAAAAGTTGAAGGATACCTGGATAGATATAAGAATTGCTGCAACATCATAAATAGGACTCCATTGGTTCTGTAAGATGTCAAGACAAATACTTCCATCTGCACAGACTGAACAAGACAACGATAGTCACTAAAAGATCAAGTAACAGAGACAAAGATCAACCACTAAACAGCAAAACATAATTTCTCTGTTTACTCTAACTTACTATTTGGGTGAAACATCCTAGAAACAGAACGAACAATCGGTTGTTTGTTTGGATAATTTTCTGTAAATTGAAGTGTCAACTTAAAAGTACCTGAAAAGTGAAAACAACTGGTACTTAATCAGGATTTGATCTATATGCTGGTGTATCATCCGGTCTGCAAGTTCCATAAGCAGATCAGAATAAAGACAATAAGAAAACAGAGTCACTTCTTCCTCAGGCAAAAGCAAAAGTTCAAGGGAAGCACATTAATGCTTCTTCTCTATTCTCCATGAGACAAAAACAGAGTCACTTCCTCCTCATGCAAAGCTACTAGACGGGACAAAATCGGTTCTCCCCAACCGAAATCTGTCGTGTGGAAACCCAATCTTGACCATGTAGTGTCAGAAGAGTCGATGAAAGAGAAGGTCTTGCTCTCATGTACCCATCAGTGACCATCTTAATGGCTTCTGACTAATCCCACTGCATAACTTAAGGGTTTCTCGATAAGCTCTCACTGTTCTTGCTCTCAACACAAAAGCAGATAAAGCCTCAAAACTTGTGCAGGATTTACCGAGGAGAGACTCACTGTTCTCTGTTGCGTGGAGCTTAAGCTTCTTGATTTTCTCTAGGTCAAAGCAGAAGAATATAGAGGCAAGTTTTCTTATTGATAATTATAGGTTTTTAACAGAGAAAAATATATATCCGGTACTCATAAATATTTGGGGACCCCCAAATATGAAATAGAAAGCATGAAATTGTTTACTTGACTTTGGTTTTTGCTTAAAGGCTTTAAAACATTGAAGAAAAAGTGTCAGTTGTTATATGTGTTTTTGAAATGCTTCTAACATTTAAGAAAAAAGAAAAAAAATGTTTGGTGGGGATTAATCGGTTTAGGCGAAATTAATTAGAGAACTGATTTTTGTAACTGATTTTATACTTATCCCATCAGTATACCAATTAGGTGGCTGATTTTTAAAAGGTCTAAATCTCATGGTTTTAAGTGGGACTTGCAAGATTTTACAACAAATCATAAATTTTATAAAATCATCAAAATCATATTAAAACTCAAATAATTTAATACACCACTCACTCAGTTACCACAGTTTTATGTTTTCACGTTTCCAAATACTCATGTGTCATATACATCTTGTAGGCAGCATTTTTTCCAAAGATCAGTCGTTTCAGGATTGCATTTCAGACGGGTTTTCGTTTTCAAAATCATTTACGTCTTAGTCTTACTAATCGTGGAATTCGACGAAAAGCTCGAAAATCTCTAACCTGCAAGAAAGAGTACTGAAGTGACCACCGGACAACCATCTGGCTGAGACGAGTGTGTCTACCCAACGTCGACATGATCAGCCGGCCGCATTGAGAGGGGATAATGAATTCAGTTGTGCTTTCCTTCTCATAGAAGCTCTTATATTTCGTTTTTGTCTTTGTTTCATTTCGTTTGAACTATTTATCTTTTATTTGGTTTTGTTTCATTTTGTTTGAACTATATATTAAATGCTTCTTAATTAATATATATAGATTACATTAGTTAATATTTTTCAACATTAAAATAAAGCCACATAGCATTATAGTTGTTCATCTTCTCTGAAAGTTGATTACATTTACAATTTTTTTTTAATATATTCACTCTACAACAAATGAGTTCAACACTCAAAATAAAGGGAGAAACTCTGAGCTACGTACTAACAACTAAAACCTCCAAAAATTACATGTCGATCGGGGTGAAAAATACTAATTCCTACGAGTCAATATATAAGGCGTTGAGTTAAAAAGGTGAAATTGAAAAATATTAACAAAAAGATGTGTCGGATTTTCATAACCTCATAAAAAAAAAAATCGTAACTGAGTCTCATAGCCCAAGCCTCTGTGGTCTAGTGGCAGAGGAAGCTTTGGTGAAGGGTGAAACTCCCAGACCCGAGTTCGATTCTCCCTGAAAACAAAAAACACATTTGTTTGGGAAGTCTGTCAGTTGGGCCTTGGCCAATTGATTTACCTGGTAGTCAGAAATGCAGGTGGCCTGACTACCTCCTGGCATTAGTCGGAAGGTATTTCAAACTCGGATCAGGCAATGTGGTAGCCCAATTCTACCTGGATCGGGAGAAGTCCACTCTGTAGCACCTCGGTGCGTTCCTACCAAGGCCAACCGGATCAGCCGATAGGGTTTATCAAAAACAAAAAAAAACTGAGTCTCATACTGAAAAATTTATTTAGAATAGACAGTGTGTAGGGTGATTAAGGTAGGGTGAGTAAGGTACCGCAGAACCTGTGAAAACGAACAAATTGAAGCAGTTTGGCAATATGATATTAATTGGATATTCTATATTTCTTCATCTCTTACCTTATATATCGAACAAACAGTATGTAACACCAAATCAAACTTAGTCTAGTGAATTAAAATTATCGAATGAGTCCAGGAGTTCCCCCAAACACTTCAGTAGAATACTATTTCATAGACAATGGTATCTCCAATGAAGTGCTCAGAGGAACTCTAGGGAACATCCGACCAAAACGATATTTGTTTCTTATGTAGTGAACATTACATTTCGGTGGAATGGCAAATTGAGTTTACAAGGGTGTTAGGGTTTGAAAGAGAATGGAGACATTGGCGTTTCATATATACAATTGGAAGCATTGTGAATGTAGACGTGAATTCAGTTTAAGGGCTTTAAGTGTACGTGAGGGAATCACTTTTTTCAAGAAAATGCATAAATCCTTTTACTTTTCAGCTTTTTGCAAGATACGTTTCTATATACGATTAGAAAACAACACTTAAATGAAATAGGAAGAATATTGTGAAATTCATTTGAACCGGTTGAACCGGGCTGTTCGGGTCGGGCGTGAAAATTTTTACATTGGTTTTTGTAAGTCCCTTGACATATGCTTTGCTTACGCAAAAAAAGAGAATAGAATAAGATCTACCGGAGGAAAGAAAGATCTTGTGAAGAATGTGCTTCTGTAGCACACTAATGGCGATAATAATATTCTCCTTGGCTCCTTATTCCCAAAATTCCGACTTGGTTCATCTTCATTTATATTTATCGCATGTTTTGCTATTCAATGGAGAATATATAATCTACGGTCCCTCCCCGAAAAATTCCTCTACAACATGCGGTATAAGCATACATATAAATATGCAGTTTGGGTGTTCACTAAGAACGTGAGTGAGTAAGAGAAGAAGCATTAGCAAAGAGACATATATAACATGTAAAGTCAACTGTCCCCTTGAGTTCCCTTAAACGCTTCATTGTTCATACTTTGTGTTCTAAGATCTATGATCTATCGACCGATAAATCAATCTGATGAACACTGAAGTGTTTGGGGGGACTCTAGGTGACATCTTGGCACCCCAAAGGTTTGAGTGGTTTTTACAACGGTCTGGTGAGTTATGAGCTTTTTCATGTATACGAAAAGTAATGTGATTGTTACATGAATGAGTCATTTCATTTTTTACTTAGCAACTAATAATGTTTCATTGGAGTTTAACTAGTTATATATATACTGTAGTTCACTAGTTAATAGAACCACCCAAATGAACATGTGATTTCAACTAAAATTTAAACCGGTGATTGTATTACAAATAAACAATACAACACCATGATTGCATAACAAAAACCAATCCAATTAATAAACCATATCAAAATCTAAAAAGTTGTTGTCTCAGGAACAGAGGACCAAAAAACAATTATGTATGAATGTAAAATTGTACTCATCAAAAAAAACCGTTTCTACAATAAACGACACATTGAGCGTTCGGATAATTGAAAACGAAAGAATTACATCAAAGCAAGAGAATTAAGGGTTTTGTGTGAAACCAATAGCAAAGTCCCTATTCGTAAGTTGTTGCATTCATTGGTTTGTTTTGATTTATGTATGTATAGGCAAATTTCAAACTTCATAAGCATTTCTAAACATAAATCATAAACGATATAACTTAAAACTCAAAATGGTTACAAATTAGATATAAAGATAACAACTTCAGAATCTAAACCAAGAAGGAACAAACAACAAAGACGAACAAAAAAAAAAGCTGAGAAACAAGAGATCATCGGTTAAGCATTTCTTTAACCGAGAACCCGAGACAGTTCTCAAAGTAGTTTGGAGGTTCTGATACGAAACAAGAGATCACATCCCTCAGTGTTATAACCCCATAAAGCTCATTCTCGTCTCCAGCAGCTACATATACCCGATGCACCGAACTCGAAGCCAAACTGTTTATAACACTCCCTAAAGTCGAATCAGGCCTACAAGTTATCGCAGGAATCGCTAAACCATATTCCTCTCCTGCTGTAGCAATCTTTGTCGCAAAACTCTTCACCGTGAGTTGTCTTTATCATCAACAAAGAGAAATTTAAGTCATTGTTACCAGAAGTTGTAATGAGAAACAAGTGAGTAAAACAGACCTGAAATTGGAGAAGACTTCAGGTTGTAAAAGCAAATATCTGATGTCTCTCATGCTAATGTTACCAACAATCTTCTTATTTGGCCCTTCGATTACAGGTAGACCACCAATGTTGTTGTCTCTCATCCGCTTGAATGCTTCAAGGATAAGTTCTTCACTATCAATGCTAATAACCTGAAACCAACATGTTCGGTTTCACCGCTTTACGACCCTAATGTCTTGAGTTCTTAGAGTTTATTTTTTTTACCTCATTCGGCGACATGAAAGGCAGGCCTAGATCAGAAATCGAGAGAGCAGAAATGTGATCAAACCAATCTCTACCTTTGCAACCTTCAAGACCATGAACAACTGCAGATTGAGTAACGTAGTTCTTGATATCCGGTTCTCCTGATTTAATAACCGGCACATTCCTTAACCGGTATTTCGAGAGTAACAACATAACACTCAACATCGAACTCTCAGTTGAAACCGGAAGAAAAGGAGCCCATCTAAACGACTTAAGTATTGTTCTAACCTGACAACATAAACATATCCATGATCAATCAGGACCATCACAACACAAATACGTTATGTTCTGTTAAAAACTTACAGTGGTTGATTTAAAAGGCTCTTCTTGAAGAATGACTTGATAGAAATCTTTCCCTAAATTATCAGCAGCAGTTGGAGCATCTTTCCCAATCCCACGGTCAGCTGCAACACCACCAGCAACCGCGGCTCCAACCGCAGCCGCTGCTAGCCCTGCAACAGCAACCGGACCAGTCACCCCAAGCGCTGCAACACCAAGAGCTCCAACAGCTCCAGCACCAACACCAGCAGCTGTTGCTGACGTAGCGGACAACGCGATTGCAGCGAGTTCAGCACTCTCTAACACCCATAAGATGATTGAAGAGTAATCAATGATTCCTAAATATCTTTCTCTCCAATCTAAGGAACTCTCGTGATCAGTGTTAATCACAGGAGCTGATAGAATCTTGCTGTCTGATAAGATCTTTACTGCTTCTGATACAGGTGTTTCCGCTGGAATCTCTATCACTGAAAAAAAAAAAAAAAATTGAATCTAAAGCATTGGAGAAATCGAAAAATGGGATCTTTATATTTTTACCTCTGCCGCCGGGGACTTGAGGGAAGGAGGAGACGGGGATTCCGGCGAAAGCAGAGTTTAGGGTTTCTTGAAGAGATTTGGGAAGATTCTTCCTTGACTGTACTTTCTCGAAATACGCCTCACAGCTTGAAACCGCCGATTTTATCTCTTTATCTTCTACAGCTTCACTTCCCGCCATATCTTGATACCGATTCAATTGAATAGTCTCACAGATATCTTACGATGATTTCAGATTGGAAACGATGAGACCCAGAAAAAAAAAAAGCTTTTTGAAGAAAAAAACAGAGAGAGAGAATTTAGAACAGTGGGTGTGTCTCGTGGTCGGATAAGCGACGTGATGGAACCTTTGGTTTCGGTTTTCTGGCGGTTACGCGCGATCTGATGAAGTGCAATGACACGTGGCGTTATAATAAGTGGTCGTGTGTCAAAGAGTTATAACAGCGCTACAATCGGAGCCTCTGACGTGGATGGGCCGAATTCTAAGAGAGAGTACTGTAATAATGGGCCTGAGCCCATTTTGAACTAAAGGTTTTTAATATTTGATTGATCATAATATGTTTCATACATTCTTTTTGTATTGGTCATTTGTTTTTTCCTTTTTAAGAATCGACCATCTAAACATTTACAGGTGGCTAAAACAATTCAGATATCTTCATTTCGGTCAAATGACTCAAAAAGTTATAATTGAGAAAATGACGATAATCCATTCTTTTTATGTAAATAATTTTGATGGTGATTACAGTTTGACCATCAAATTAGTAAATGTCTTTAGCAAAAAAAAAAAAAAAATCAAATTAGTAAATGTTTCGTATGTGATTTCAAATAAAAATAAAAATACGTAGACTTACATATTATTCATGTATGATCACTGTTTCGCCAAATACGGCGTTATTTTACCAAATGTCATGTTATTTTACCAACTTTTACGCTATTTTCTAAAATCGCTTGTGATACATGATTGATATTTTGTCAACTAACACACTATTTTTATTTTATGTGATAAGTTTATTTTGTAAAATAACACAATTTTGCAAAAGTGAAAAAGGAGATTTTGTCAACCTGCATGAAAACCACCTTCCCTTTTAGTCAGATATTAATGTGATATCATAGTCATACTTACCTAATTCACCAAAAAATATATTTAACATTGTATTATAAATTACATTAAAATATTTTGTGTATCAAATTGTTGTGCAGAACAGAATTAATTTACAATACCTTCATATGCATATAATCCATGATATGATAGGTAATCCACTAATTTAAACATTTGGATATCTACAAGTATAAATGCAGTTTGCATCATGCCAAAACCAGATCTCTCTTTCAGAGCCTGAAAAACAAATGAATAACAAAGAAAACAGAAATCAATTACTTTCCAGACTTGTGTCTAGCTTTACCGATATAGTTACTGGCTTACTGCTGTCCCGAAAGTCTCGTTCGATAACGGGCCAATAAGGAATCTGTACACAAAGGAGCTTGTGTTCGCAAGCCACTAAAGTTCAAGGTGTTATCGTGCGACGATGGAGGTGGAGGATCAGGAGAGGAGAAGTTGAGACTGAAAGAGGAGGACGATAGAGGATAGTCGTCTGGTAACTGATTGGGATAGTTTGGTCGTGTGAGGTCCAATGTTACGGTCGGGTGGGAGTTAGTGGTGGAGATAGAGAAGTGGTGAAAAGGGAAGAAATAGCTTAGACTCGCGGAGGTGGAAGAGGAGGAAGAGGAGGAGCCAGATTGTAATAAGGAGGCAGCCGCGGAAGTTCCAGCTGCCATGTGGGTTGCTTCCATGGGAAGAGGATGGTCATGGTTTCCTTCGTATGTTGTCATAAAAGCGGAGGTTTCTTCTTCTCCGCATCTTTGCACCTACAGACATTCGTTTTAAAAGCTTTTACTCAAAACCAATTGACAATGAATAGATATTTGGATTGAGAAATTATAGAATGTATTATACCTGTTTTCTAACGGGACAATTTGACGACATAGAGCAACGGTAATAGGCTCGTGGGAGAGGATTGGTTTTCGCAGTCTTTTGACCGTATTTCCTCCACTGGCAACCGTCGTTTATCTATATATTCATGTAACGTTTGCCAATATGATCAACTAATTAGAGATGTTACATGCTAAAGTAATTAAACATATATATGGTTTGGTGGTACGTACTGATGGGTCTTCACATGATGCTTTAACACAAACCCTAGTTTTCTTCAAACCTGCTTGCTCATGCTCTTCCAAAACATCTTGATGATGATTTTCATTTCTAACTGTTTTGACATCTTTCCTCGAAGATACACATTTATTCTCTGCGTTTGCATTCTTAACCTGTCTACAAAGATTATCTAATTTCGAGGCTTCATAACTTTGAATCTGAAATCCTAAACCCAGTGCAGATATTTTATCTTTTGACTCCTCTTTGTTCTCATTAGAAATCTTGTCCACCTTTTCCTCTCTTTTAGAGATCTTTTGCTCTGATCTTCCAAGCCTAAGTGATATATCTACATCAAAATCATTATCTTTGTCTTGATCTAGCTCCATAGAAGCTCTTTGTTGTTGTCGGAGAACGTTAGAGACATGCATTTGAAGAGAGTTGTAATTATTAAGAATGGTAGAGAGTAAGAGCTTTAATTTCTCATTTTCTTCCCTAACTTTCTCCACCTTTGCTTTTGTTGCATCAAGCTCCTCTTCCTGTAAATATCCAACACACATTTATATTCACCTTCCATACAATAGTGTTTACATATATCAAATAATTTTTTTTTTGTACCAACTATTTCTAAACTTTACGACAAATAGTTTTCAATAAGCACACACAAACTGACAAAAGTGAATTAGTATTATA